TTTCCAACCAGTCTTTTTCCGAGGCAATCGATGACATTGTTATAGTTATTGTTGCTGTTGCTACTGCTGTACTAGTACTGCTACCGATTGAATGTATTACGTAAGTAAGTAACACATAATTATGAAATGCACCAATCAAATAGCTCGTCTTAAACTTGCGTGTTGATGTTGACGTAAAGAGATAAACTTGGAGGCAATACTAATTACTGTATTAGAAGCAATAATAGTGAATTAGGTAAAGTAGTGCGTATTATGGGGCTTTTCGGTGTGTTTATTGCTTGTTAACTAATTCGCTTCCTGGTAGATTATTCGATACAATTGTGAGATTGTTAATCCTTATCGATTAGAAATCGCTTCTTGTCCCGTGGATATTTTTGCGGCGTTATTTACTTAGTATTAGCCAATTGCTTTTAAATAAATACAGTGCTGTATATTAGTATCCCAGTCTGTAAGCTCCCGAATAAACTTGTCGGAAGGGAGTAGTCACTTTACCCCGTGTCTACCGGTCGACATTAGTTTAAAGTTAATTATCGCTATATTTTAACTAAAAATAGGAAGAAGCTCTCCTCTGGGAAACACAACTCTTAAAAAATTGGCAACTTTTATTCAAAATTTTTTTCGCACTAATAATGCACTTGGCTTTATAAAAAGATATTTTTTATTACGTAACATTTTTAATAACCTACATTATAAGTAAACGTAACAAAATACTGAAGCTTTTTTACAAAAATTAGTTAGCATCTATCCAGAGATTAAATTTTAGCCTTTTGATTGTGAGTTGTCCCAACTTTTTACAACGTTTGGGCATGCCTTTCGATATAAGTTGACCAATGTTATAATTTTGTATAAAATTTATCTGGACTATTGGCAGCCACTATTACTATTGAGAGCTTTTATTTTGCATTCAAGATATTTCCTGTTTAACAGTTTAAAAAAAACCGTAAAAATTTACATCAAAACCGCAAAACAGATTAATTATATTGCATAAAATGAAAATATTCAGATTGGAAGAGCTTTTATCAGGGGTAGTTTATTTTTCCTTTTTTTCTTCGTGCACGCAAATTCTTTGGTTATACAATCACATACAGAATTGTATTAGTTATGATAAAGCTTATTTCTTTAAATCTACGGTGTTTACTATACATAGACACACACATTGTACAATGCTAGATTAATAAAAAAAAAAATAAAATCGGGGGGTTTCATTGCATGTTATAAATTCCTAGTTTATGGTTAAAAGATCACGCGTTTGTCTAAATGAAATAAGTTCTTTCATATGTACGTAACATAACAAGTGATACATTATTGTTCATAATGACAAAATTCAATCCGCATTATAAACTGCTTGATCAGGTGGTGAATAATGGATATACCTGAAGTATACGGTTTTGTGTGCATCCAGGTACGGACAATCATACGCTTAAGTTGTTAAATAACATCATGCGAATTACACGTCAAGTATATTATTATCAATACAGCAATCACTTCCGAATAGTTTAGTTCTGACACGTCGACGCGGCAGAGGCACCATGGCAACTGCCTAGTGCTTTTATCGACTTCCGTGTAACTATGGTAAACACGAAGCTTAACATCTGCAGAAAATTCTTTACCAGAAAAAAAAATAAATAAAAAACCGATATTCCCATTCCACGATTCAGCGCAAGAGAGGAATGGAATAGTACATCAAACCATCAATCGGACAACGCACACACTGGCATGGCCATTTACTTACACCAGCTTGCTGTAATGGTAAAGCTAAATTCTGGTGCTCTAGTAATTAACAATTAATAAGATGAAGTCACTGCAAAAACGTTAATCATCGAGAACGTTTGGGACATTTAGATAAAAGATTCGGCATTTCATCCTAATATTATATCCGAACCGAAATGCCAGTCGAGCGAGATCAAATCAAGCGAAATATGTGTTTTCTGAACCTTTACAGTGTGCTAATACGGTTCAATTGGTTCACTGTGATCATAATATTTATAATTAAACAGGATGTCTATACATTAAAAAAAGGCAGTTTTTTTTAAAAGACCGGCTATAATACTAAGCTTGCTTTGTGCGAAAAATCGATGAAAAAAGATCAAATAATCCCCAACTCAATTTCGACAACAAAGACTTGTGCGATTTGCCAAGCATGATCCGGTTAATCTCTCTCTGCGATACGCGTCTGGCTCTTCCACCATACCTCTCCAATACCGCCTTTGGTCTAGTCCTAACACCATGTTCATACCATGGCTCAACCCCTGGTTTTGTATTGTCCTCTGACCTTTTCGCCATGTTTTCCACTATTTTCAAGCATGCCTGATGTCCGCATGTTTCTTTCAATCGTATTCGGCAATCATCGCATTGTATAAACAAGAGGTTACAGACGGAATTGCGGCAGTTGGTGTGTGTATTACATGACTTGCCGCACGTGTGGCATTGCGAGAGGACGTCGTTGGTGATTCGTTCCCCGAGGCGACGGTCAAATGTGAAATTGCGACCTTTGTAGAGCGAGTTGATTGTGGGGTTTTCTTTTACGTAATGGCCGTATGCGGTTATACCCCCTTTCAGAACGTTGACGGATTTGAAACCAGCGGAACGCAGCACTGCCCCTGCTTTCGAGCAGCGTATACCACCTGGTCATGTCATTTCAATCAAACTCGAATAAATTAATTGTATACGAATAACGTCACGAATGCAAATTGCAAAAAAGAATCTTACCAGTGCAATACATGTATACTTCTTGGTCTTGTTTTCCCTTGCATATTTCTTCCATCACCTTTACGCTCTCACGGAAAGTGTCAACATCTGGACGTATTGCACCCTCAAAATATCCAATTTCACTGGTTCATAGATTAATCGGATAAATGATTACTTTTTTTCCATGGGAGGGAGACAGGAGAAAAAGACATCGAATATTACAATTTCGAATAATATTTTTTTTATGCCAATCTTTACGATGAGGCACACAACTCGCTTTCTACAAGATAAGTAAAATTTCATTTACCTTTCGTAATGGTTGCGCATGTCAATGACAAGTTGTGGTTTAGATGATAGCGCTTGATGCCATTCTTCTGGATCTAGATGGTTTGGTTGCTTTGTGATGTCATATGATCCTGATTCGAGACCATCGGCGACAATCTGCTTCCTTATTCTTACGTGTAAGGCATCGAATGCCTTTGAATGTTCTGTCGCAAAATTGAGATCTATGTTTTGCAAGTCTAGTATGTTATCACAATACTCTCTCAACCAGCCAATGTTCTCTTTTGGGCAGCTCATCTGTGCATTTATGCCTTCGGTTGCTATGTAGATGCGACCAACAATGTTCATGCGTCCGAAATCAGAAAGCATCTGCTCGCGTAATTGTGGTAGATCTTTCTCTGGAATTGGTTTGAAACGATAAAATGATACTGTCCGCCATTCCATGTTTTGAGGCAATATGGCTGAATTCTCCACTTGTGTGACCAGTAAACGACGACAATCCCTACACGCTTGCATTCGATAGTTTGCTAATTTCAGCGGCAAATGTTGCTTCTGTATGTAAATGTATCGCCGAGTGTGAAAAGCGAGTTTGCTCGCGTGACGTGAATTGGATCGTGGTGCTGCATATTTGGATGTTAAATTGGTGCATAGTTTGCGGAGAGGCGATGCGTTAGAGCTCCTAAATTGACACGTCAATTGGTATCCCACAAACATGTCTGCCAACAATGTCCGATACGATTCAAATATTAATATTGACTATAAATCGTGACAAGTCAGACAGAAAAAAAGGTGAATCAATACTATTTCGGGATGATCACATGACTATAATACTCTTGATAATCGATTTATTATTATTATTTACACAAGCATTATTATACAGATTATTAGATTCACTTGCTTTCTAATTATTCTATATAAACTTAGTCCAGGCGTGCTGGTTGGTAATCCTTGGCAACAGCCTCTATTTTCTGAATTCTTAGACTACGCTCCATTGTCTCTGCGTCAACAATTGCCTTTAGCAGAGCATTGCATTCGTTGATTTCTTCAGCTTCTTCTTTCATGTTGGCACATATATCTCGCAACGAGCGGGCAACCTCATCCATCTATAATAAAAAACATCAGCTTATCATAAGACCGATATACAACTCAATAGGAGACGATCAGTTTATACCGAAGGCAGTTTCACTTGATAATTTTCAAGGATTCCCGATATCATGCGGGAGCATTCATTAATACAATCAGTCAATTTATCTGAATGAAGAGTAATTGTCGGTAAAAGCGGTTAGAGAGATTAAACTCTAGGAGTAAATTGTTCAGACATGATGCACAAACCTAGTTCTCCGGTCTGAATATCAGTAATGGGCATAGCCGCCGTAGTGGATGCTAGAGAGGAAGCGAAAGAAATGTATCTTCCTTTAAAATTTTCCAAACTTCTTACCACTTCCACAAGTATTTCTCTCTAATTTTTAATAAAACGATGAGGGTACACTTTGAAATCAGCCTTGAGAACGTAAACTGGTGTCAAATTTTTTACCAACCTGCAGATTCAAGAGCCGTTGTAGTGCTGTGATTTCTCGTTCAAGATTGAACCGTCGTTGTGTCCTCAATAGTTCTTGGCGCGTATGACTAAGCGACTCCCAAGCAGCCCATAGCCGTGCCTTGTCCCAACAACATAGTTAGCGTTCTATGCAACCGGTTCGTCGACGACTAATTCCACTTACTTCGGAAGACTCTTTCCTACATTCGAAAGCATGTGTGGCCTGCATGTTTAGTAAACACCACTGCATTAAGCGTGCGTTCAGCATTGTTAATTCGTCATTGACTATCACTTTTCTGCTAAACATTTCAGAACAATTACAAGCTCTGTAACAAAAGAAGACGTTCCTATGTGTAAAACTCTCGCCACGCGCGCGCGCTATATTTGGCGCACAACCCCTGTGATTGTATTTGACAGCCGATCGGCTGATTGAATTGTCCCCCTGTATTAATGGGTTAACGTACGCCCATCGCGAATTGAATCTTCGAATGCCGACAACCACTTATATATCTTTAACCACAGAAAGACATATTGTCGTGGCGCAACCTAAACTAGTAAATTACCACAATTATACAACAGTTTAATTATAACACGATCTAAATTTTAGGAAGCATTAACTCTGGTTGGTACGTTAATCTCAAGTTTATTAATCTATTGAGCATGGGGGTAGTAGTAGTGTCACACACATAGTAATAGGAAAGGTCATATGAGAAGCCATATTAATATCAATATTCGAGCAAACTTCAAATCTCTAAGATTTTTGAAGGAAGTAGCTATGCTCATAAAGACTATTCCAACACGTATAACATAGTATAAACACTTGCAATATAAGAAATATCGTTCCTTTCTAATCGTTCTAAATAAAAAAGGTTTCCATATGTAAACTTTCGGTTTGCCAAGGGAAACGAAAAAGTGGTTATAACATGTGTTACAATATTAATATGTATTGGCATATTAATATAGTCTTTATGAGCGTATTACAGTGTCTCTTGTAACAGCCTAATTTACCAGTAATAAAGTAAGAAGTGACTTCAAATCGCCAGGCTTTTTGAAGCAAGCTACATTCATAAAGACTATGCCAATACAGAATGAATTTTGTCCACCGCGAGTAAAACTAGTGGGTAGTAGTTCGGAATTCTGGGCCAGTCTTATTATTATCCCATCGTCCATCGCCATTTCATTGTACGTTTCAAGGCAAAAAAACAAGTATTAGTATAGAGGCCCATATATAGGCCCATATATGAATTTATTATTATGAATCCACTGAATATGAAATAATAATAATACGTTTTTATTTCTTGGGGATAGTTGCAATTGCAGTTGCTCAAAATTATTCTGAGTGAATTTTGTGAAATGCTTCAAGTTCTCTCTATCTATACTAATACTAGTACTAATACTACTACTAGACACCTGAGAAAGACATTATAATGGCTCAAATGAAAACAATGATAGAGAAATAATAATAACTTAAACTGCCAGCCAGTACATAATTAACACAACTCAGACAATTGACATGTAATAATATAAATGATGAAAAAAAGAGGTAATAAATCGTCTCTACATAATTAAACAAAGGATGGATTTAACTGAATGCTACTACTACATTCACTGACTGCTAAGATCAAGTTTAAAACTGTAGTAGTAGTAGTAGTAGTAGTAGTAGTAGTAGTAGTAGTAGTAGTAGTAGTAGTAGTAGTAGTAGTCATAGTCAATGTTTTCTGAATATCTCAACTGCACTTGGTCTTTTCATTAGCTATCCTGTGAAAATGGTCATATCATCAACCAAGCACAATTGCACACAGTTCTATTGGTAGATAAATAAAAAGTTCAAATGTTTCTCTCCCAATTACTAAGATAATAAAACCTGACTTTGTTAAGAAATTTATCTGAATAATAATAAGGGCAAAAACAGCTGGGTGCAAAGGATATTCAGTAAAAGAAGACTCTCATAAAGTCTATTGGATTTTTTGTGAGATGTCATTGTGGAGAAGTTAGGAACTATTATTTATCAATTCCTAACTATCAAACATTGCTGCTCTTTCATATTCACTGTTTCAAGCAGGTCCTTTAAAAAATCAACTTCATCTATTACTATTATGCCTTCTGCATTTACTACTGTCCAAATGTCATCTTCTGTAATATTATAATTTCTTATCAAGTGGGACTTTGTAAAATCTTCTACTGAGTATAACTTCTTTGTAAAACTTGAAACAATTTTGCCCAAGATATGTTTATCAATGATATAAACTTTCTTGTTCAGTTCATTGTAGTTACCCTCTCTCAGATTTCTTTTGACAGTTTCATGTGTCTCATTTTTAAGCATGTCAGTTGCTTCTTTTTCTGTTATATCCTCACTTAGCTTTAGGTTATTGATATGTGTTTGGGAATTTGTCCGAACAAGGAAGGTAGGTATTTTCCATATTTTACATGAATTGAGAATTTGCATATCGGTCTCCATAATTCGATCTTTCCAACAAATGATAATAAAGTCAAAAACAAAAAGCCCTTTATCAATGACATACTGCTCTACTCTATTGGCCTGTGTGCCAGCACCTGGAATATCATACCATACAAATTTGTTGAGTACTGAATTTGTGTCTGGATATTGCTTTATGGCCATGGTTGTCTCAGCAACGCCAACTTTGGCTGCACCTTTATCTTTATCTCTACAACCTCGGAGAGCATTGATTAAAGAAGACTTCCCAGTACCAGCATGTCCAGCAACAGCAAAATGGTAAAGAAGGCCGTCAGGGTCTTTGAGCATAGACTTAGCCTCTTCATATTGCTCTTTGGTCGGCTTCAACTCCGCAGGAATGCTTTCGATCCAAGCAGCTGGACATATGTTTGCCAAAAATGTTTGCTTATTCTCAAAATTCAAAAAAATCCTGAATAAATTTGAGTCTAAAGCTTTTACCAGAGCTGTTGCTCCTGTATGCCCAATCTGGTTATGTGTAAGATTCAAAGAAATCAAGGATGAATTTGATTTTAAAGCTTTTGCCAAGGCTACTGCTCCTGTATCCCCAATTACATTATACTGAACATTCAAAGAAATCAAGGATGAATTTGATTCTAAGGCTTTTGCCAAAGCTATTGCTCCTGTATTCCCAATCTGGTTATGTGTAAGATTCAAAGAAGTCAAGGATGAATTTGATCCTCCAATCTGTTTCCATACAAGATTCAAAAAAGTCAAGTATAAATTTGACTTTAAAGCTTTTGCCAAAGCTGTTGCTCCTGCATCTCCAATCTGATTATGATTAAGATTCAAAGAAGTCAAGAATGAATTTGATTCCAAAGATTTTGCCAAGACTGTTGCTCCTGTATCCCCAATCTGATTATGATCAAGATTCAAAGAAGTCAAGGATGAGTTTGATTCCAAAGTTTTTGCCAAAGCTGATGCTCCTGTATGCCCAATCTGATTATGATTAAGATTCAAACAAGTCAAGGATGAATTTGATTCTAAAAATTTTGCCAAAACTGTTGTTCCTGTATCCCCAATCTGATTATGATCAAGATTCAAAGAAGTCAAGGATGAGTTTGATTCCAAAGCTTTTGCCAAAGCTGATGCTCCTGTATGCCCAATCTGATTTCTCTCAAGACTCAAAGAAGTTAAGGATAAATTTGATACTAAAGCTTTTGCCAAGGCTGCTGCTCCTGTATCTCCAATCTGATTCTGTGTAAGATTTAAAATAGTTAAGGATAAATTTGATTCTAAAGCTTTTGCCAAATCCATTGCTCCCATTTCACTGATCAAATTGTGTTCAAGATTCAAAGAAGTCAATGATGAATTGGATTCTAAAGCTTTTGCCAAGGCTGCTGCTCCTGCATCTCCAATCTGATTCTGTGTAAGATTCAAAGAAGTCAATGATTCTAAAGCTGCTGCCAAAGTAAAAGCTGGTAATCGTGCATATCTAATCCAATCACTATTAAGATTCAAGGAATCAAGTTGGCTTTTTGTCATATGTAATATATTGATATGTGGATTAAGTGTACAGAAAGTATCTATCACTAATCCTGATGCCAATGTATTATATTGTTCATATTTTAAAGATTTGACAAAATACTTCAAAGCAATTTCATATTGATCAAGCATCAAATAGTCTGCTCCACTATTTCTCAATTCAAGTGCATCTGTCATATTAATATTAACCTGGGACATTGTTTAACAATAAGTGTAAGTACTCAACTATCAAATTGGCGAAAACTCCTTTGCTCACATAATAATAATAAATTGAAATGTAATTGGTTGTTCATTATAAAATTTCCTAAAGTGTCCGCCCAATCAGATGACGATCTTCAAGATTGATTGATAGAGTACTTCGCACCATTTATTGTAGTCTCTTAATAAAGCCAATCAGCCTCCGACACGCAACCTTACAGTCATTTCTTTCAATACGAAACATAACATTCAGCGCCAAGCTAAACGGCTTCAACTACAATCCCAGAAAAATTATGAGCTACGCAAAAAGAATATACAATTATGAATATCAAATAACTGGCTCCTTAATGGAAGAGTTTAATTAATTATGAAAACAGGCGTGTACACTTGGAAATAATTTCTCACTGATTTGTATATAAATAAACTGCATTTTCAGATCTTCCAAGTTAGAATTAGTACACTACAATATTACTCACTATGCGAGTCGATCTGACGACTGGACGGTATATGTCTTGGGACTGGGTAAGCCCGGAGAACTCTTGTGGATGGCCAAAACTATACGACTACCCTTGTGTACAGTTCAACTCAATCTTACAAGTAGAGACTATGTCTACATAATTGGTTATCTCCCAACGATTTACATAGTCTCCAAGTACAAATACAAAATATTCATGATATAACTGTTGGGTATGGGTCTGTTACTGATAACGTCAGCTTCATATAGTATGAGAACATCACTTTCAGTTAACTTAGACATTTCAACCACGTACTGTATAGTCGGAAATAATGAGCTCTGACCTGAAATGCCCAGGTTTTGTTTAACGATGACGCCATCGATGGTGTTCCTTATACGAACAGCGAAATAATTATTTAAGACATCAGCAACTGCGACACCCGAAAGATCTCACAGAGCACCATATTAATATACTGTCCAGTTTATTATAAAATCAATTGGAGTGAATGCTTTCACCTCAAGTGGTTAGAAATTGAAATTAGCATCGTACTTGAAATAATTTCTCGTACCTAATTTCGTGACTTTAGTTTTCATATTGATTTCAATTTTCATTAATAAATGTTGGCATGTTTAAACGCAGATCCACACCTTCATGAGATATTTGGGCGGCCTTAAAACAATTGTTCGCCTTGCCTAGATTCTACGATACTAAGCGGGTGATGAGGGAAAGTTGTTTAGTTATTCTGTAACATTACAGGTTCTTAGCTATAATAGGATCTTATTCATGAGAGTTTACGTAATAGAAATTCGATTATTTTGTAAGACATTTACAAATGGTTAAAACAATTTCTTAAACAGATGCCGTGGTTTATGCAAATTGCGGCCTCGAACCAAATTCTATCATAAACTAATAGTTAGAACTAATTTATTAATAAACTCGTGTTAACCCAATGAAATATTAATATGCGGCAGAGATCGTCAAAAATTTTGTTGCCAGAGCCCAATTCAAGGACGTATTGTATATATATAACAAGTGCGTATGTTTGTATTAATATGATTCGAAAACGTAGGCATTTGAATATTTATCAACAGCAATACAGTAACTGTCCGGATATGTCAACACTGTTGTAGGATTACTTTCACATCATTGATAATCTATTGACAACAATTGTTTCCGCATCGCGACGTACACTCAGTCCTAATTCGGCAGTTGCAGAATAATATCATAGAGTAGGATTGCATTCTTGTTAATAGTACCAACGTGAATGCTAATGGTGCTAGACTAAGAAAGCGTGTGTGAAGCAGACGATATGATTTGACGATAATTCGTTGGTTGAGGTATACCCAGGCAACGTGAACGTTTCATATATTGCCTTGATAGTCACTGAATATTTGCCATGGGGTGGGTAGAATCGAATTAACTAAAAAGGGGTTGGAAAAATACCCACTAACAATTAATTTGTCTCGTACTTGGGTAACACAGAGTGGCGAACGCGTTTCGCGAGCCATTGTTAATTTCCTAAAAAATGCTGTGGGAGGCGAAAATGCAAATAACTGCAAAGAGGTAAAAAATAGTATGACCTGTCATTGCATATTGATAAATCAGCATGCCAATATTCAAAAAGTCGAGGATAAACTCGATTCTAAAGCTTTTGCCAAAGCTACTGCTCAATTGTAATTGTACTAGTACTTCCAATTTAATTATACTAAAATAAAACTCAAGAAGTCAAAGATAAATTTGTTTTGTATTTGGCTGAAACTGTTGCTCCTGTATACCCAATTCGATTCTCTGCAAGATCCAAAGAAGTCAAAAATGAATTAAATTCTAAAGCTTGTGCCAAAGCTGTTGTTCCTGTAAATCCAATCTGATTCTTTGCAAGATTCAAAGAAGTCAAGGATGAATTTGATTCCAAGGCATTTGCCAAAGCTGTTGCTCCTGTATGCCAAATCTGATTCCATGCAATATTCAAAGAAGTCAAGGATGAATTTAATTCTAAAACTCTTGCCAATGCTGTTGCTCCTGTATCCTCAATCCTATTACCATCAAGATTCAAAGAAGTCAAGGATGAATTTAATTCTAAAGCTTTTGCCAAAGCTGTTGCTCCTGTATTCCCAACCCGATTCCATTCAAGATTCAAAGAAGTCAAGGATGAATTTAATTCTAAAGCTTTTGCTAAAGCTGTTGCTCCTTCATGCTCAATTATGTTATACTGAAGATTCAATGATGTCAAGTATGAATTTGATTCTAATGCTATTGCCAAAGCTGTTGCTCCTGTATGCCTAATCTGATTACTACCAAGATTCAAGGAAGTCAAGGATGAATTTGATTCTAATGCTTTTGCCAATGCTGCTGTTCCTGTATCCCCAATTACATTATACTGAAGATTCAAAGAAGTCAAAAATAAGTTTGATTCTAAAGCTTTTGCCAATGATGTTGCTCCTGTATACCCAATCAGATTATTACCAAGATTCAAAGAAGTCAAGGATAAATTTGATTCTAATGCTATTGCCAAAGCTGTTGCTCCTGTATCCCCAATCTGATTCCATCCAAGATTCAAAGAAGTTAATGATGAATTTGATTTTAAAGCTTTTGCCAAAACTGTTGTTTCTGTATCCCCAATTAAATTATACTGAAGATTCAAAGAAGTTAAGGATGAATTTGATTCTAAAGCTTTTGCCAAAGCTGTTGCTCCTGTATCCCCAATCTGATTCTTTGCAAGATTCAAAGAAATCAAGGATGAATTTGATTCTAAGGCTTTGGCCAAAGCTGTTGCTCCTGTATGCCCAATCTGGTTCCATGCAAGATTCAAGGAAGTCAAGGATAAATTTGATTCCAAAGCTTTTGCCAAAGCTGTTGCTCCAGTATCCCCAATTTCATGATAATGAAGATTCCAAGAAGTCAAAGATGAATTTAATTCTAAAACTTTTGCCAAAGCTGTTGCCCTTGCATCCCCAGTCTGATTAATATCAAGATTCAAAGAAGTCAGGTATGGATCTGGTTCTAAAGCTTTTGCCAAAGCTGTTGCTCCTGTATGCTCAATCTGATTAATATTAAGATTCACAGATGTCAAGTATGAAACTGATTCTAAAGCTTTTGCCAAAACTGCTGCTCCTGTATCCCCAATCTGATTCCATGCAAGATGCAAGGAAGTTAAGGATGAATTTGATTCTAAAGCTTTTGCCAGAGCTGTTGCTCCTGTATGTCCAATCTGATTAATATCAAGATTCAAAGAAGTCAAGGATGAATTTGATTCTAAAGCTTTTGCCAAAACTGTTGCTCCTGTATCCCCAATCTGGTTCCATGCAAGATTCAAGGAAGTCAAGGATAAATTTGATTCTAAAGCTTTTGCCAAAGCTGTTGCTCCTGTATCCCCAACCTGGTTACTATCAAGATTCAAAGAAGTCAAGGATGAATTTGATTCTAAAGCTTTTGCCAAAGCTGTTGCTCCTGTATCCCCAACCTGGTTACTATCAAGATTCAAAAAAGTTAAGGATGAATTTAATTCTAAAGCTCTTGCCAAAGCTGTAGAAGTCAAGGATGAATTTGATTGTAAAGCTTTTATCAAAGCTATTGTTCCTGTTTTTCCAATTTCATTGTACTGATGCTGAAGATTAAAGGGGGTCAAGGATAAATGAAAATCTAATGCTATGGCCTTTGCCAAAGCTGTTATTCCTGCATCATTATTTTGGCATTTTTTCATATCTAATATGTTAATATTAATATGTGGGTAAAGTATATAGTAATAGTAAGCATCTGTTATTAATCTCAATGCTAATGTATTAGTTGGTTCATATTTTAAAGATTTAAAAAAATGCTTCAAAGCGGTTTCATATTGATCAAGCATCAAATATTCTGCCCCACTATTTCTCAATTCAAGTGCATCAGTCTCTGATACTTCAATGTTAGCCTGAGACATTGTTTAACAATGAGCATAAGTACTTAATATCAAGTTGACGAAGATAATGTAAATGATCGAGATCAGACGACGATCTTCACCGTATCAGGGTTGATTGATGAAGTACGTCATTACATTTACTTGTAGTCAACTTCTAACATGCAACTAATATGATTTCCTTCAATATGACCCATTAATATTCAGCGCCAAATCTAAGCGTTTTAACTAAAAATTATGAGCCACGCAAAGGAATATAAATATAGAATTATGAATATCAAATAATTGGCCCAAATTGCAACAATATGATGAAAGTGTAAAATGCCTTTCTAATTAATTATGAAAAAGGGCGTGTGCGTGTGCTACAATTGGAAATAATTTCTCGTGATTTTATGCACCTTCTTAATAAAATTCTTCAAATCAAAAATTAATATATTCATTCTCGGATGATTTGCAATAATTACTCGTTATGCGAGTTCCGACGATTACTCTTGCGTTCGATTAGAAACTGTTCAACAAGTAGAGACTATGTCTACATAGTTAGCTATCGATAAAAGATTCACATAGTCTCCAAGTACAAATACAAAGTATTCATATTATAACCGATAACTTTCTATAATTGATAACATCAATTTTATATAGTATGGGAATATCACTTTCAGTTAACCTAAACATTCCAACCACGCACCGTATAGTCGGAAATAATGAGCTCCGGCCCAAATTCTGTCTAAAATGTTTACAACGATGGACGCAACATCGAACATTGAACATCAACCTGGTGTTCCACCCGAAAGATCTTAAAGAGAACCATATATTGTCTAAGATTAACTGGAGTGAATGCTTCGTATCTAATTGCGTGACTTTAATTCTTGATATTGATTTTCAGTTTCCTATTAATAAAATATTCGCATATTTAAATGCAGAGCTACACCCTTCGACATTTGTCCATGAGATGCGGCCTCAAAACAATGCCAAATAAACTTGTCATGTAAAATTGTTCGCCTTATCTATATTTTACATATAATTATAGTATTAGAAGTAGTATATGACGAGAATCAAGTGATTGATGAGGGAAAGTTATTCTGCAACATTACCGCTTCTTAGCTATGATAGGATCTTATTCATGAGAGTTTACGTAATAAAAGTTCGATTATTTTGTCAAGACATTTACAAATGGTTAAAGCAATTTCTTAAACAGGATGCAAATTGCGGCCTCGGCTATAACCGAACCAGATTTTATCATAAACCAATAGATTTAGAATTAGCTTTATTAATAAACTCGTGTTAACACCACCCCATGAAATATGCGGCAGATCGCCAGATTTTGTTCTTGGAATCGTGATAGAGCACGTATTGTATAGTGCACGTCAAGTGTGTGCGCTTGTATTAATATGATCAGAAAACGTGGGCATTTGAATTATTATCTATAGCAATGCAGTGACGTTATTATCCGGATGTTGTAGGATTACTTTCACATCATCAACCATCTATTAACAACAACGTTATTTCGCATTGCGATAAACACTCAGTCCTAATTCGGCATGTTGCATAGTTCGTGTGAATAGGATGATTGCATTCTTGTTAATAGTACCAACGTGAATGCCAATGGTATTGGTGATTGTCGATAATCCGTTGGTTGAGGTAATCTAGGCAATGTGAACGTTTCGTATAATGCCTTGGTAGTCACCAAATATTTAGGTAGAAGAACAGAATTAACTAAAAAGGGGTTGGGAAAATACCAAGTAACAATTAAATTTGCCTCGTACTTAGGTAACACAGAGTGGCCGAGCGGGACAATGCCATTTCGCGAGCCTTTGTTATTTTCCTAAAAAAAAAAAAGCCATGCGAAGAAATGTGAAGGCAAAAGATTAGCATGAACCGTCACTGCATGTTGTTCAACCCGCATGAAAATGAGTAGACTATGCTGGCTTTCGCACTTCTTTGTCAAGTAGAAAACAGGTTTAAGTTGTTTCTACTACCTATAAAGACATGCAGAATGATGCTAAATGAGATCATCTCTGCATACAACTTGGACTTATTAGTTGTAGAATATACTAGTAAACAATAGTAAATGGAACACAAATTAATATTAATAAAGTTAAACGCCAATTCATTGTACAAGCGTACCACGTGCAAGTCAGAACCTGTTTCGGTGAAGCCTATCTCAAGGTCGACAAATAACAAGCGGGCTCTACAGGTATGTAAAGACCGAATCTTTTTATTTTATTTTCGTCTCACATCATTGTTGTTGCGCAAAACCTTTTGTGATGGAACTCGATTGTGGTACGAAATCCATCAGGTGACGTATTAATGTAACATAATCCCTAGTACTTGTGTGTAAACTGTAAGAATGGTACCTTATACTAATAGTGTAACGATATATTTAGTATACCACGATAATATTGCATCAAATACAATTTTCACGTACGATAATAAAAAAGAGGTTAACCGACCCCATTGTCATTGACTCTATACCTAGCAAGCATAAACCATAAAGTTAACCCTATTATGCAAAATTTATCAAGAACAGTCGAAACGAATTAAACGATTCCTTTACCGATTTCAAAATCAAGCTTTTGGGACAGCTTATGCTGTTACCAATAAGAAATAAGAGACGCATTCAGTCTTAAGTACGTGAGGTACCTCAACAAACACCAATCGTCAACATATTGCTCAATTAGCATCGCATCGCAGATAGTAACAGTTGCAAAAATGCACAATCAGCTGAATGCCGATCTCCCGTCTTGTAACATCACATGATCATTTCGTTTAGAAATAACGGATGAATTTTAGGTGTCAAAAAATTTAGTTTGGCGTCGCCCAAGCAATGATGAGTCATAGTGTTAAAGTGTGACCGTATTTGTACAGGTAACAACATGCTGAGGCGTAAGTTATTTACGTATTTGAGCCTTGTGTGTTTACCCCAGGCACTTTTTGTTTATTAACACACACATATCATATCTTGCGATCTATTCAAAATCACATGATAAGAATTTTGGCAATAAAAGTTTGATTGCTGTTCTGTCTATTTTTAAAGCCAATTCTTTTTTATACAGTCCATTCGATCATCTGAAATCCCATCATCAGATCATATTCGACCAATGCTAATCTTAATAAACTTAACCCATTATAATGAATAAACACAATCCCCCCCTTAAATATTCCCTTGACTTTAATACTGACTACATTCTCGCTCTTTTCCCGCCCCTGGATGTATCTATCGCTTATATTTTTCTACACCTTACTCTACTTTGGCAATAAACACAAATACACGTCCTAGTGGACTCTGTTAATAAACCACCACTTGAAAGCCGCGTCCATCTACGCTTCCAATCTTCACGCCAATATCCCCTGCAGTACATTCGGGTTTCCCACAACGCTACCCCTACGAGGTGACTATGCAGTTTAACAAATTAGTCGCTTCCGTTTACCCGACATTGCAAAAAGTCAAACATACCTAGTCCATATTATGTCGTACCCCGACTGATCCATTGACCTATTAGCTTTTTATTCGCATTCACGAAACACGTTATAATGTCAAGCATAATAACAATCAGCTTAGCCATAGTAACATGACTAATTATTTACATAACCATCGGGGAAAAAAATTCCCTGTTTCCTTTTTCGCTTATTACTTTAGTGAAAAGCATTATAGAAATTGCCGGACAGTCACTCTCAAACGCACAGTCCCGACGGATCAATATCCCTGCTGTCGATGTTAGAGATGTCTATAGCTCACGATAGACAAATATCTACGCCTGAGAGAAAGGATTCTGGCGTTCATTTTGCAGACGAGGCAGAGTTAAGGAACATTGAGAATGACGGAAAGGGAAAACAGTTAGGGAAATGTTATCTGGATCTTATGCCCTTGGAAGTGAAAACAAGGATTTTCAAATACTTGAGCGATGTAGAGCTCGTTCGAATATCAAGGGTGAGTATTGCATTATGGTGGTTCGAGGGAACATGTGGTCTACGCAATCCTTTATAGAACACGGCCTTGCCGAACCAAAATTTGTATACCTTGTAGCATGGGCTGATTACTTGTTTTCCCTAGGTTAATCGATCATGGTATCGGCTAGCTTTCGACGGATCACTATGGTCAGTCATTGATGCACGGCCTTTTTATCAAGAAATTGCTGCAAAACAATTAGTAAAATTGATCGTGTCAGCTGGAAGCTTTCTCAAGGTGCTGAATCTTCGGTAAGTTTTTCAGTGCGGTTGAAAAAAAGAAAAGATGACTGACCATATGCTTATGCACTGATCAATGCGAACTAGTATTACGCAAGCATGAGTATTTTTTATATACAATGTGTTATGTATCATTATATTATTCATATTGCACGCTAATGTCATAGTATTAATTCTAATCAATAATATTTACTCTTTTTCAGTGGTTGCATACAGTTAAAATCGTTGAACGTCTATGGAATATCCACCTTTTGTCCAAACATCCAATCCCTCCATCTCTCAGGCTGCAGATCTCTCGATAGCGCTTCGATAGCAGACATTCTCAGCAAACTGAATAATTTGGAAAACCTCGATCTGTCCGGTTTGCTCTTCATTATCAACCCGCATTGCGAAATACTGGGCAAGCACTGTCGCAAACTCAAAAAAGTAAATCTCAGCTGGTGTCAATACATAAACTCGCAAGGAATAGAGGCTCTAGTCGATGGATGTACAGAGCTGATTAATCTGAAGATTAATGGGTTACCCAAGTTGAACGAGACGGCCTTGGCAAAGATTGGAATGTTAAAGAATCTGAGAGTGTTATCACTTGATGCATGTCCCACTTTAACCGACTCGCACATTACCGCCCTTCTTCGTGGTGATTCTCAATATCCTGAACACGACCCGCCGCCGTTGACTCACCTCAATCTGTCAAACAACCACAATCTCACCGACGTTGCGCTGGATGAACTTTCTGAACGTTGTCCACAGTTGACGCACCTCCAACTCCACAGCTGCTCGTCCCTAGCCGAAGAAGGTCTTATCCGTTTATCTCAGGCATGTACAAAGATCGAAGCACTCGATCTAGAAGACATTCTCTCTATCACAGACCGCACACTACATTCTTTCGCATCGAACCTCCCTAACCTCAAAATATGCTGTCTAAGCTATTGCGAACAAATAACAGACGAGGGTGTAATTGACCTCTTCAGATCATGCCCTTATCTTTCCCATATCGACCTAGACCACTGTCAACTACTCACCGATGCTATTCTAAGCAATCTGACTACTATTCTTACCCGAGATGGAAGTAAACGAAATAGGAATGTGCAAGTGGAAATATTCGACTGCAGGAATATAACAGTATCCGCCGTAAAGGATGCAATACGGAAAGTGAGTGGTGCCGGAGTAATCCTTAAAGTCAAAGGCTACTACTCTTGGCAGGCGAGCAATGCCGACGACGAGGAAGAGGATAGTAGGAGGAATGCAAACGGACAAACGTGGCTTCCCAGAAGATTGCTAAGACCGTTTGGAGGAAGGAATGAATTTATTAGAATAAGATTGCCGGCGGCCAACGGACTTGGGGCAAGAGGGAATGCAAATGCGAACGGAAATGCAAATGCAGTTTCGAGGTGGGGTGGTTTTGGGAGATGTACTATATTGTAAAATGTGTGATCGGAATAACGAAAGTCAAATGAAAAAAAGATGACGTAAGAAAGCTTAATAATAGAATCAGTAAGGACTTCAATGTGATAGTTACTAGATTTTTTTGAGATGTGTTTAAGGAGGACACTTTTGGGTTATTCGGGTTCTGCAGCTCTATCTTAATAAGTCAAGCGCTATTTCTCAAACACTCATGACGACTCGTCTTGCAGTCTACGAGTATAATCTCCTTATACGTATTACTTTATTTTTCACACATTATCTTCTTATTTTCATTCACATCCAGGACACGTTCCCCCCATTGTCTAAAATACTTGACTGCCGCGACCAATACTTAATATTATTTCAAAGATGTATATTTTATATTCATATCTATTCCTCTCTCTTTTTCCCCATTTCCTTCACTTTTCCCCCTATTCTTGTATATGCAACACCCCTCCCCATCGATTAGTTACTTTGTAATGCTGTACATAATTTTATCTCTCAACATCGTTCTTTCTGCTTTTCTGAGAGCATAACTCTACCCGATAGTTGAACTTTATCACTTTTTATGGGTTATCGCTTGTATGATCTGTAAGATAATTGCAAACGTAGTAATAGCGCTTACTGGACTTAATAAATCGTATTTTTTTTTGGCAATCATTCACGAGTCTTTTATGCTTGCAAGTTGTTTCAACGTCTATGGCGAACCTTGATTGGCTGGTTATGCATTGAATTAAAGTTGAAAGTGAAACTAGAAAGTGTAATTAGGTAAATTTAAATGTAGCTTTCCTAGAGGGTTAAAATTTTTAATTCGTGCGAAATCAAATTATAGTAAACGAATTCTGCACTATTTCGGGAGAATGGCTTCTTTGCTGGTTCTGCCTTTTATCTTTGTACTGACTCATTCACGCTCGACCGAACTGTCAATATCCTTCAGAATTATAACCGTGAAATCAAATTCTGCGGTGTTTTACTTGACGATTTTCAATTTTTGTTCGATATCGTTTGGCGATATTTGTTTCCAGCATCAAAAGTGACTAATACACAGGGCAGGCAAGACTAAACAATAAACTTTGAAGGTAGTTACAATATTGGTTTGTCTAATCGCAAATATTCCTCCCTAAACTCCCTTCTTTATGTCTTCATCTCACCTCTGCGTTCCACAATGTCTTTTTTCGCGCCAACGCCATCTTTTTCTGACCCCCTTTACGTCATGATGCCTACGCTAGAATCTCTCGCGCAGTCGATGAACATTATCAGATAATTACGATTAATGTCTCACATACCATTGTGCAAGTTTTTATTATATTCAACAGGAAAATTATTAATGACCGACCAATCACATTTCGATCTATTGAGCAAAAATGTAGAGTTACCGCCCGTCGCCCATCAACTTGAATACTTATACTTATTATTATCAGTTGTTGTTAAACAATGGCTGGGTTTAGTACTACTGATGCACTTGAATTGAGAAATAGTGGGGCTTGGTCAATATGACAATGCTTTGAGGTATTTTACTAAATCTTTGGAATATGAACCAAACAATACATTGGCATCAAGAATGGTGATAGGCACGTACCATAATAATAAGCTTAATCCACATATCAATATGTTAACTATGGAAAAAGACCAACTTAATTCTTTAAATCTCAATAGTAATTGGACTGGAGACGCACAATTAGTAGTTTTGGCATTAGAATCACAGACTTTTTTGAATTTTCAATACAATAAAATTGGAGATAAAGGAGCAATGACTTTAGCAAAAGCATTAGAGTCAAATTCATCCTTGACTTCTCTGAATCTTGATCACAATTTGGTTGGAGAAACAGGAACAATGGCTTTGGCAAAAGCTTTAAAATCAAATTCATCCTTGACTTCTTTAAATCTTGGTAACAATTTGATTGGAGAAACAGGAGCAATAGCTTTGGCAAAAGCTTTAGAATCAAATTTATCCTTGACTTTTTTGAATCTTGGGCATAATTATATTGGAGAAACGGGAGCAATAGCTTTGGCAAAAGCTATAGAATCAAATTTATCCTTGACTTCTTTGAATTTTCAGTATAATAAAATTGGAGATAAATATAAAGGAGTAATGGCTTTGGCAAAAGCTTTAGAATCAAATACATCTCTGACTTTTTTGAATCTTCAGTGTAATAATATTGGAGAAACAGGAGCAACAGCTTTGGCAAAAACTTTAGAATCCAATTCATCTTTAACTTTTTTGAATCTTGACAATACTCATATTGGAGATACAGGAGCAATAGCTTTGGCAAAAGCTTTAGAATATTCATTTCTGACTTCTTTGAATCTTGATAACAATTTAATTGGAGATAAAGGAGTAACAGCTTTGGCAAAAGTTTTAGAATCAAGTTCTTCCATTGCTTATTTGAATCTTGGAAATAATTATATTGGAGATGCAGGAGCAACAGCTTTGGCAAAAGCTTTAGAATATTCATTTCTGACTTCTTTGAATCTTGATTACAATTTGATTGGAGAAACAGGAGCAATGGCTTTGGCAACAGCTTTAAAATCAAATTTCTTCACAATATCATTAAATCTTGATAACAATTTGATTGGAGAAATGGGAGTAACAGCTTTGGAAAAAACTTTAGAATCAAAATCATCTTTGACTTCTTTGAATCTTGGTCACAATCTGATTGGAGATAAAAAAGCAATGGCTTTGGCAATAGCTTTAGAATCAAACTCATCTTTGACATCTTTGAAATCTTTGAATCTTGGTCATAATCAGATTGGGGATACAGGAGCAACAGCTTTGGCAAAAGCTTTAGAATCAATTTATCTTTGAAATCTTTGAATCTTGATCATAATCAGATTGGCGGTACAGGAGCAACAGTTTTGGCAAAAGCTTTAGAATATTCATTTCTGACTTCTTTGAATCTTGATCATAATCAGATTGGGAATACAGGAGCAACAGCTTTGGCAAATGCTTTAAAATCAAATTCATTAAATATAATAAGCGAATTCTGCATTTTCGGGAGAACGGCTTCCGGCACTACACAGACAGATATACTGTATAATAATTGTTGGTTATCTTTGTGAATAGTGTGAATAATATCAGCTTTTTCCCTACACGAGTAATTTTAAATTTTGCTGATTTCATCCGTACCATTATAAGTAGTTTGTAATTGCTCTAAAATGTATTTTTCTAGTTTTTCGCTTTTGCTTTTGCTTTGTTTCATACCTGGTGTATCGTCTTGTGACACTTGTTTCCCGCAACATGTTAATATTAAGGCAAAGTGATTAAATTAAACATCTAGTACTACAGTCAAACTCCGATATAGTCAAGTTGACGGGATAGGGACTTTTCTTTACTATATCAAAGAATTTACTATATCGAAAATTTTCAATATA